AATTAATTACGGTTAGTTATAATAAAAAATTGTAGAAGTGTTGAAAACAAAAGTTTTCAGTGCTTTATTGCTTGATAAACAGAATAATTCAATTTTGATGTTACGAATTATCGAATAGTCATAGTTACGAACTGTCGATGTTATGAAGTGTCGCCGTCATGAATTGACGGCGTTACGAATTGCTCGTTACCATTTTTGGAGTTACGAACTGTCGCGTCGCGAGAAAATACACTGTACCTAACTAATAATTTTTCATCGCTACAGGCCCTGTGGGCCTTTGACTTTTGGTGGCCCTATTATTCCATTGCTTCTATCTTTTTAGTATTTTCTTACATTCCTTTCTATTTTCTGATTTCTCTTTCCAACTTTCTACTCCTACTTTTCCTAAGTCGGTTGTCATCGCTTCCTCTTCAGTCAAAACGTCTTTTTCTTTATTTTTCCGCATCACCTTGCTTTCGCCTTTGAAAATTCTTGGATGAAGCATTCCAAGTATAATAACGTGGCATCTCCGAGTAAAGCAAAGTTCGTGCAAACTGATCGCTTTGGCAGATTGCAAAAAAACTGGTCAATGTAGTTGCTGGAGGTGTTTCAGCACGTTGCGTAGCATTCGAAGCCGTGAAATATACTCGTTGACCATTCTCCAGATGCACCGCCAAATGTATAACAGTAGGATGACGTTCGTGAATTGGAAATGCGAATATACGCCAAATCGCTTCATTACAGTTCACATAACGACCAACTTGATAGCGTGAAATTTCATCGTTGGTATTTGAGGATTGCAATCCAAAAACCGCCATATCACTGCCTTTCGTGACATATTTGCAAATATATTTTATGGACTTAACTGAATTGCAGTATTCAACGTTGCAATGTGTCTTGAACGTTTTAGAAATAAGTGGCGAATATGGAACAATCCAACTGTTGTCGACAACGAAATCCATTCTTTTCACTTTCGTTGTGACAGTTCGACCGTTGTCATCTGGTGATCGACGCCGATACAGCGGATACCCATCGTTGCCAGTGACAGTCTCCGCCGTTAATTTCCGTGGATATCGTTTAGAGCACTTTCCATCGACCATGCAAGGTGATTGGGGATTGATGGCACCACACGGTCCATGAATCATATTAGTAGTAACAACATCATGTAGGTCTGGATCGACTTCATGATCAGGAATCTCGGCACATATGATATCATCTATTTGGTCAGGCTGAATTCTTTCCACTAACCAAATAAGAATGTGTGCGTGCGGCAGGCCTCGCTTTTGCCATTCGATTGAATACATCCAGCATCGAGTATCTCCAAAGACGCGTTGTTTAACAATAAAGTTCATCAGGGACCGAATTTTTTGCCTGAATATACGTGCTGTGATGTCGTGTCTATCATTTGATGTTTGTCCGGGAAGCAGCAATTGAGTAATTTCTATCCATTTTGGATTACAGGTAAAAGTAATAAAGAGATCTGGCCGGCCGTAATGACGAACATATGTCATTGCATCTTGTGCATATTCATGCATATGACGTGGGCTACCAATGTACGTCGCCGGCAGAATAGTTAATCGACCAATATTAGCTGCATTTCCTTCAGTACTAACTGCATCACGTAAATGGATGTACTCCTCAGAACGCAGTTTGGCTTGGTTCAACCTAATAAATGTTAAACGTTCCGTTTCTATTTTTACATACATGTCAACGCAATACTGCTGAAACAATCGACGAAACCGCAGCAAATAGTTGTCAGCATTTTGACGAATCATCAAACGATATGCATAATAATTCATTGAGCTAACTTTCTTTGTAGTTTCTTCACCTGAAATTAAAAATTTGATAATTAACCATTTCAAAGACAAATAATACAGACATTAACCATTATTAAGATACTGATACTTTACCATTCAATGGATTTATCATTTTAATATTAAAATAATATCCATCTTCTCCTTGCCAAAACATCAGTGGGTATTGCAATGCGTCATATGATCGATGAGTTTCAGATATTTGTTGCAGTTGCCCAGTATCGCGACGTGTAAGCACAATATCGCGTTTTTCCAATTGTTCACCAACAATCAGGATGGCAACTTCGTCTACTGTTGGAGCATTAAATGTGCGTTCGTGTGTTCCAGATGGTCGTTTATCTGCTTTGATGACAACTTTATAGTCATCATTTGGCATGCGCTCTAAAGCACTCTTAAACAACCTGACCAACGCATGATGTTCATGAAGCAGACACTGCAAGTCTTGAATAATTGCTCGCTTCATTCCTGCATTGATCCCTAGGCGTCGATCAAGTTGTTCTTCCATGTTGCCCATGAAATATATTTGTAAAAATTTATTCTGTGTATCTTCGAAAGGTAGTAATGATCCAATTCGATGGTGAATCTGTCCTTGTATCTACAAAATAAAAACCAGACAGTATTAACTGGGTTATAAACACTTTTTCTGTGGGAGAGTAGAGTTCAGTATTAGCAAATATAATACATACCAATAGATAAAGTAAGTTATTCTTTAACTACATTCTATGTAAGTACAAAAATAAATACCTTAAATGTCGGATTAAATCCTCCTTCTTCGATAATGTCTGCCCCAAATGACGTCATTTGGAAACAACTATTGTATTTTCGAGTATTTGCAAGAAAGTGGCGTGATTCTTGTGTTTCGCCACAAAGCAATGAATACAATGGCTCATGTGGCGGAGTCAACACTGGCAATTTCACTTTACCATTAAGGCAGCATAATCCAGGCGTTTCTCCGGAAAACTTTAATGCACCACAATACTCGCAAACAACGTCCATTTGCCCAATGCAAACGCTAGGATGCAAGCTGTAATCATTGCTGCAATCGTATCGAAACGCTGCTCGATTCAAATCAGCTAAATATCTTGTTCTGCGTCGCAAATTATCTATTTGTTGCCTTCTGTTGTTCGCTCGACGATTCTGCATTGCCAACCGAGCTGTTTCACGGGCTGCTTCACTTTGCTCTCGTGATTGAGAAGCACGAAGTCGAGCCATACTATCGCGGCGCTGTTCACGTGCAATTTCTTGTTCTTCTTCAGTCCTTTCATTTGCAGTATTTTGTATTCTTCTTGCATTACGGCTTTGTCGGGAAAGATTCGATCGTCTTGGTCGCGGCATTATTAATTAAACTTCACTTCACTTCAATTACGGCTTTGTCGGGAAAGATTCGATCGTCTTGGTCGCGGCATTATTAATTAAACTTCACTTCACTTCAATCCACTTGTTAATTATTTATTTAATAGAAATAGTTTTAATATTGATTTCTTACAAATATCAAATTGTCATCCATACGTCATTACATAGCTGTCATTTTACGTCAATTACATAGCTGTCATTTGCGTTTTGTTATTCCAAGTCTGATTCTTTTTTGTTATACCACGTTTTATAGTGACTGACGTTTCATGTCAAGTCACACGGGAACGCTGTCGAACGGGATAAAAAGTATCCTATGTTCCTCTCCTGGCTCTAAGCTACCTCCCTACCAATTTTCAGCCAAATCTGTTCTGCCGTTCTTGAGTTATAAGTGGTGTAACTAACACGACTTTCCTTTATATATATATATATATATATATATATGATATAGACAACTATATATTTCCAATAAAACATGTGCACATGATGGCATACTGTGCCATCATTGGAACACATCTGCTATGCCGTTATAGGCAAGTACGCATCAGATTTAAAGCAGAGCGTTATCTTCTAGCACCACAATGGCAGAAGTTAAAATGCAGTGCCTACTAAAGCTTAATACTAATCAAAATTGCATACTTACTTTATTGCATAATTACTTTGCATATTTTAACTTCAGACGAGAAGCGGAAAAAAACATTTTTTTGTGTTAACGTGCGTTATAATAGTTCAACACTCAACAAAACACACTTTCCATTATAGACTTATCTGTGGAACTAAAAGTGTTTGTAACTTTACCATAGCAAATAAACACTGTCGATGCGCATGCCTATGCAGGCGATATCGTTCGAAAAGAAACGATTTACAAATTACACGTGGTGTGCCATCAAAGGCAGCATGCCATCATAGGCATATTTCCCCTATTAAAGAAAACGTATAGTTTCAAGATTCGGACCGTGAATTGGCCTCCAAGATCGTGTGATTTAACACTACTAGATCATTTTATGTGGGGATATGTGAAGGTGCCAGTCTACGACAATAAGCATAAAACAATTGACCACTTAGAGGACAGAGGATAAGATTCGCCGCGCTATTGCCGATATACGTGATCAAAATTTGGACCTTCAGATTAGACTACGTCAGACCTAGCAGTGACGATCATATGCCAGAAATCATATTTAAATTATGACAAAAGATTATCTTTCGAATAAAGTCAATTTCATGTCAATTTATTAAAATTATCTTTGTTTTATTTCATTTCAAAGTTCTATACCTCTAAAAAAACACCCTTTATTGTGATGATAATGAGACATTTTTTAATTTTAGGATCTCCATGATAGCATTGTTTTACAACGTTTTCCCTTTGTTTAATTATTTTTCTCAAATTCTTTTAATTATCGTTTTTCCCCACCGTGTATTTTGATTTGGTCTCATTTATTTTTAATCAATACTTTTTGACTTTTTATCGAAATTTTGAAATACTTTCTATAGTTTTTCTTCCGATAGAAGAGAAATCTTAGTACACAATAAAATGACGGGAATAAAATTAAAAGGAACTATTAGAGATATCTACAATAACCAAATGCCTAGGTATAACAGTTGCAGATTTCCGACAGTGTTTAGAAATCAATCACATAATCGCAAAATATGTTTACACTAAACTTTGCAGAAGTCTTCATAGAGTGTGACAAAAATATAATAGAATTTACAACCATACCGTTTTGCATTACAAGAAACAAACTAAACATTGGAATCAAGTATAAATTCATTCCAGGATTTTGCTGAAATGATGCGGCAACATTGTACACTAAAGAAAACACTTCAAACCAATTCATTATTTCATTTAACTTTAATTCAGTTGTGTATGTGGTTGTGTTGTGTTGTGCTTATTCTGTTTACATTCTGTGTACATAGGTCTAAAATCAACAGGTGCGAAACCGCTTAAAATTGCGCTCATGAAACATTTATTAATTTTTGTGTATATTCTGTAAATAATTTAACGGAATGTTATATTTTTCATTGATGCATTTCTATTTTAATTTATGCGAATCATTACTCAAAAAAATACAAATACCTAATATTAAAATAAATAGAGCACAGCACGCATCTAAAATGTTTTTATATTTATTTCAGTGTACAAATTTATTTCCAAGTTTGCCCCTGATTTTCGCTTATGCATGTAAGTAATGACATTCCTGGCTTTTTAGTGCACTAATTCAGAGAACATTTTAATTTCATGTACCTAATTTTTCATACCTCTTTCAAAGGTCAAATCCAAGAAGGTGTCAAGGTGAACTTCATTTGAAGACAATTATAGAAAACCAACTCTGATAAGTTGTAACTACAATTCACAAGAATATCATAATACATGGAGCTCGAAGAATAGCTTAGTCACTGGAATTTTTCAAGCTTAATTCTAAATGGTTAATTATACAGTCAGTTGTAGTTTATACTCTTGAAGTGCAACACCATGAAACTACTTACATCTACTTTAGATTTATTATTGTTATTGATTTTAATTCATTCTACTTCTTGTGCAGTGCTAAGAAACCGAACCAACAATGAACCTGGTTTATATACATCTGAAGATGATTTATTCATTTTAACAATAGATAATTTCAATACTTCTATTTATAACAGCGATAAAGCTTGGATGGTTGAATTTTATAGTAATTGGTGTGGCTTCTGTAGAAGAGCAGTTCCAAGAGTAAAAGCTTTTGGAACTGATGTTAAAGGATGGAATGACTTAGTTGTAGTAGCAGTATTGGATTGTGCCAATGAAAGAAATGCTCCGGTTTGTGAATATTTCGGAATAACCAGGTATCCAACATTCAGGTATATTCATGAACATTATATGGAAGGGCCTGAAAACACAGGATTACCAGTGGTAGCTGACTCTCATACCAATTTTTCAGAGCACAGAAAAAATTTAGTTGATATTTTAATTAAAGAACAAAGTGAAGGTAGAGGTAAAATGTTACCAAATTTACAGCCATTTAAAAGTTCAGATATATCAAATATATTTAGTACAAATGGAGGCAATCCAGAGTTAGCATTTTTGATTGTGCAGGAACCGGGTGATGATGCAGGCCCTTCTATTATAATGGATTTTCATAGTGTAAAGGAAGTAGTTATTAGATACACTCATAATAACGAAACTAACGTCACAACTGAAGAACTACCTGCATTGTATTTAATTTATAAAAGTGGTGATTTACAGCATTTGAATATATCTTCATTAAATCGACAAGGAATTAAATTTAAACTGCGTGAAATTTTATTGTCAAGGAATATTGAAGTTCCACCGGAAGTCTTGAGAAACATTACTATTACAGATGAGGTTACAGAAACTGTAAATCTAACTCAAGAATATTTGGACTTTGAGAAAAGAATAAGAGCAGCTGGTGATACAGTTTTCCAACTAGATCTGGAAAATGCTCTTAGATACTCATTAAAAAGAGAAGTTGGGGGAAATAAAAAAATCTCCGGAGAGAAATTAGACGCTTTAAGAAAGTATATTAATGTTTTGGTAAAATATTTTCCATTTGGGGAGAAAGGAAAACACTTACTAAAACACATTCAAGATTATGTCAATTCATCACCAGAAATAGACGGTCACCATATAGCTGAGCATATAAAACAAGCTGATCAACCAGGTCAAAATGTATTTTCTGGATCTGAACAATGGTTAGGCTGTAGGGGTAGCTCATCAACCTTCCGTGGATATCCATGTGGGCTGTGGAAACTATTCCATTTCTTGGTAACAAACGCAGCATTAGATCCAAGTAATAATCAAGATACAAAGCCCACTGTAGTGTTAGAAGCAATGCATGGATATATAAAGAACTATTTTGGTTGTGTAGACTGTAGTGAGCATTTTCAAGATATGGCTAAGAAAAGAAAAATTTTTGAAGTCCAATCATGGGAAGAATCTATTCTTTGGCTATGGAGAGCACACAATGAAGTTAATAAGCGATTATCTGGAGATGCTAGTGAGGATCCTCGTAACAAAAAAATACAATTTCCCTCAATTCAAAGATGTCTAAAATGTTATAAACCTGACGGTAGATGGCAAGAGGTTGAGGTGTTATCGTACCTGAAAGAAATGTACCGTGCTGATAAAATCAACTATATGTATTCAGATCCCCGGATAATACATCAAAAGGCTGTGAATAATAAAACAACAGATGTCGCCGCTGCTGCTGCAATCTCGACATCCCAAGCCAATAGGATAATTAATACAAGTATGTATAAAATATTATAATATAGAGGCTATAAAAGATATTAAGATAAAGAACGTACTGAGAACATTTGCATGCTTGATCTTTTAACTGTGCTTTATTGCTTTTTATGTCGGGTTATTTTTAAAATTTTAGATATTGTTTAATAAGTACTATACGGTACTATTTTTAGACAGGTAACTTTTATTTTTTGTTGTAAATTTTGACATAATAGTAATATTAAAATCATGAATATGTTGCCTGTGTGAGTCCGTTTCAAATAGGTAAAAAGAAATAAATAAGACTTGCTCACAATCAGTTTAATTTAACTATCAAGACGACCGGTTTTCTCTTAAATTAAATGCTGAAATTATAAAAGCCCATATTAGGGTGCTGTCTTATAAATATAAGATAAATTAATATAAAATTACAGTAATTATGCCAATATTACTGACGTATTAAGCAGACAAAGTAAGACCCACAAATTGGTATAAAATAGTCTATTGAATTGTAATAAATTAATAAATAAACAAAAACAAAACATTTTTAATTTATAGATTATATATAGATATACATTAAGATTTATTAATTAAATCTTGTACCGGCATATAAGTAATGTTTTGTTTATTTACTAATTTATTACAATTCAATAGACTATTTTATACCAATTTTGGGTCTTACTTTGTCTGCTTAAACAATTTATTTATATTAAAAACACAAACATGTAATATTGGCATAATTGCTGTAATTTTATATTATTTTATCTTATGTTTATCTTTATAAGACCTCACCCTTATATGGGCTTTTATAATTTCAGCATTTAATCAACTTTGTACCGACTGACCTGAAGATGCTTTGCAAATTGTAGAAAGCGAAACCGGTCGTCTTGGTAGTTAAATTAAACTGATTGTGAGTAAGTTTTATTTATTTCTTTTTACCTAATAGTAATATTCTCTATTAGACCAATACAAAAAGACTCTCATCTGGGGATTCATACATTTTTTTGTGAAAATATTTTTAAATACACAATCAAACGCCAAGCTCATTATTTTGCTCATAACTTGTCTATTAAGAGATTTGACGTCAACAGGCAACTTTTTCAGAAAAAAGAGATACACAAAATGAGATACATGCTTCATTTAATTCGGATGATAAACAAAAAAAGTTATTGCAAAATTAACAACGTAATCGCTGTTTTTGATTATTTTTTTATTATTTATTAAAATTTGTTTAAATGCACCTAAACTTCTGCGTCTTATCGTGTTTGAATTGTGTGCAAAAGATGGCCCAGATCGATTGAATAGGTTTTGCGAAATTGAATTCGTTTATAAGATCTATTGAAAAATGAGCTAATTTCTAAGGCCGGTTCAGATAATTTGACTTAAGTATCTCTGACTTGAGTATGTCAATAATCCGGTGCTTATTTTCATTGTTAAGACGCATATTAATATCCTATGAAACAAAAAGTTTAAAATAATTATATTTATGTACACAAAATGATTTAATAATAAAATTAAGTTCAAATCAAATGGCAAAAAATATTCGAAAAATCTGATTAAATATACAATTTTTAGAAAAAAAAAGAGGTCTTACGACCTTTAGGAGCCAAGATAACCCTTTTCTTCAACAAAATCTTTGTTACTTTAATTAACAACATTAAAGGCTGAAATTAACCAATCTTTTATAAGTTAAAAATCAAAGTTTTAAACAAAACCGTTGGCAAACAAAATTATTAAAAATTGTTTAAACAGGAGTGTTGTCCACAAAGGGGACTTTTCGTTTTGACTAAAGTAAAAGGAATGGGGCTAGCCGAATAAAGGCCCAGCCGCGCTATTTAAAAACCAACACACAAGTTCGAAAAATATGACATATCTCAGGTTCTACTAGACTAAATTTGCTCTTTCTATTTTTCAACTGGGGTACTACATTAAAATAATAAAATTTATTGTTTTTTCTGCAAAATTATCCAAAACAAAGTAGCTAACAATTACGGGAAGTACAAACCTTTTCTTAAGTCACCTTTCATCGTTATTTTTTTATTTATTTATTTAAAATATTATTATATTAAAACATTTTTATTTATATAGTTTTTATAAACAATATGTATTTATAAACATTTTTAAAACAATTTTTCTGAATACTCTTATTAAATTTGAACAAATCATTGAACAAAAACTAAAGTTTTTTAATATTAAAAAATATTTTTAAAACAACAAATCGTATATATAACAATAAAAAACTGAAAACTTTGTTTTCAAAACTTCCACAAAAATTTATTATAAACTCTTATCACTGCAGCTGTTTCGGCTGATTGCCTTTTTCAAGTGATCTATTTTTGGCATGCGTTTACACTTTATAGTCTTTAATGAAATAGGTTGAGGAGGGAGAACTGTTTGTGTCAAGTTGGTCATTCAGAATTATATCTGTGTTTTTTAATTTGTTAATTTCCATAGATTCTAACAAATATAACTTAAGGCCTTTATTTTGAATGCGAATAATTTTAAATTCGTCATTAAAAAAATGATTATGATCTAGAAGGTGAAGTTCGTATGTAGAATCTGTTTTTGTATTATTGAAAGTTCTTTTATGTTCTGCTATTCGTTTATCAAAATTTCTACCAGTTTGACCGATGTAGGTTTTTGGGCAGTCGCCACAATTAAGTATGTATACACCACTGTGTAAATGCTTTTTGTTTTGGCTCTTTTTGTTTTTAGTATATTTGCTCAAGTTGTTATTTGTTCTGAAAGCTGGTGTTATTCCTTTCTTTTTTCTGTGTTTGGCTATTTTTATTGATATTTTGCCTGTATATGTAATCGAGCAGAAGGTACTGGGTTTTTCTCTGGTGGTAGAAATTCTTATTCTCAGGGCTTTCTTGTGTAGCTTTTGATTTAAAATTTTATTCTGTTTTAACTGTTTGTTCGTTGTATACATTGTTTACTGCTATTTGCTTACTACTGATATTTAATCCTATCTCAAAGTTGTATTTTGACATCGGAATTTCTGTTAATCTATGTAACATACTATGATATGCTGCCAGTTTATGTTATATGGGATGGAATGATGAATTGTTGCTTGTTGTGTGTTGTATGTTATATAGAATAACCGAAATTCCGATGTCAAAATACAACTTTAGGACAGAATTAAGTATCATTAAGCAAATAGCAGTAAACAATGGATACAACGCACAAGCAATTAATAAAATTTTTAATCAAAAGCTACACAAGAAAGCCCTGAAATTAGTATTTCCACCACCGGAGAATAAACTCAGTACCTTCGGCTCGATTACATATACAGGCAAAATATCAATAAAAATAGCCAAACACAGAAAAAAGAAAGGAATAACACCAGCTTTCAGAACAAATAACAACTTGAGCAAATATTCTAAAAACAACAAGAGCCAAAATAAAAAGCACTTACACAGTGGTGTATACAAAATTAAATGTGGTGACTGCCCAAAAACTTACATCTGTCAAACTGGTATAAATTTTAATAAACGAATAGCAGAACATAAAAGGGCTTTCAATAATAGAAAAACAGATTCTAGATACGCAATTCACCTTCTGGATCATAATCATTCTTTTAATGACGAATTTAAAATTATTCGCATTCAAAATAAAGGCCTTAAGCTATCTTTGTTAGAATATATGGAAATTAACAAATTAAAAAACACAGATATAATTCTGAATGACCAATTTGAGACAAACAGTTGTCTCCTCCTTAACCAATTTCATTAAAGACTATAAAGTATAAACGCATGCCTAAAATAGATAACTTGAGAATGGCAATCAGCCGAAACAGCTGTAGTGATAAGAGTTTATAATAAATGTTTGTGGAAGTTTTGAAAACAAAGTTTTCAGTGTTTTGTTGTTACATAAAATGAATTTCCATCAATCCATCAATCATATACATACTTACTGATTATATTATAAGAAACTCACATATGAAGACACAAAACTGAAGACTACCACAAACAATGAGAGTAAAGAGTATTGTTTCAAAAACGTGACGGAGTTTGAGTATCTAGAAGTAACCCTAACAAGTAAAGATGAAGAAAGCCAAGAAATTCCAAAGCGGATTTCGAGAGTAAAAAGACGGTCACGGACACAAACTACTATGCGCAAAAAACATCTCAAGAGAGGCAAAATTGAGAGTATACCGAACACTGACCAAACCCACGGATCTGTACGAAAGCGAATGGGTTATGAACAAAAATCAGGAAAATATGCAGAACATCTGGAAAGGGAGTGTTTTAAGAAAGATATTATGAGGAATAAAAGATTATAAAGACGTATGGAGGAGACGAACAAATTCAGAGATCGGAAACCTGAACGGGAAACAAGAAATTAACCGGATCGTCAGGACAGAGACTTTGGTTAGGCCATCTTGCGAGAATGGTAGATGGAAGATGGGCAAAAAACGTGTTTTTTTGCTTAAAAAGTATATTTTTGTAAAAAAAAAATCGTTTTTGACTTTTAAAGGTGATATTTTGATAGGAAATTTAATTTTGAACAACTTTTCTAGAGAAGTATATATATGAAATGTACATACTCGTAGAATTCACTCAAATGCACCCTAATGCATAGCGACTAATTCAACCCTTTCTCAAAAACGTACCCCTTTAAATGGTGGCACTCCGAGGTTTTTCCGTATTTGGGGGTCCATTGACCATATGAAATAATACAACCCCTTTAACGTTGTAGTTCCTTTTAGCCCTCTTTTTTTGAACATAATCAATAGCCTAATTTTGTTATCGCTGAATATAAAGACGGAAAAATGCGTGCCTCGAATTTGTATTATTTAAGTTTTATAATAATCTCGTTTTTTGAAAATATTTAAATGATACAAGAGCACTTCGGAGATGAATGTAAAACACATAAAAAGAATGATTCATTCAATTTAAAAATAGCAGCAGACCTGTTGACAGTGACCCGCATTTTGATCGACCTTCCAGTACCGGAAAATATGTAACTTATGAGTAAAGCTCGGATTTATAGGCAACAAAAATTGAAGAAAAAGGCGCCTAT